TTGGGCAGGAAACATTTATATTGCTCTTAAAAGGAATAGGGCTTAGAAATGTAGAGGATGAGACTGGGCACAGTGGTTCACACCTGTAACCCCAACACATTGGGAGGCCTCAACAACACAGCGAGACTCTGTCTCAAAAAAAAAAAAAAAAAAAAAAAGCATAGAACTGAGCTGAGTAGACTCAGTACTGATTTATGACCACAGTCTTAGATTAACATTCAACATAAGTATCCTATTACACCTCTGCGGTTATGGTCTTCTTGCAGTATCACTGATCTACATATTCTCTCTCCTCAAGTCTGCTGCCCCTTTCCTTCCTCCCACCTTCCGCAGACACAGATGAGAGCCTTTACTTTTCTTCCAACCACCAAATGCACTCGCTTACTCGCACCCAGTCTGATGTCTCTCACCTTCTTTCCTGATGCATTTGATAAACCCTTTCTTGACCCCAAGTCCCACTCGACACCCCTTTACAGCAAGTGTTCTGAATTTTTATTTTATTTTATTTTTGAGACAAAGTTTCACTCTTAAAGTTGCCCAGGCTGGAATGCAGTGGCCTGATCTTAGCTCACTGCAACCTCCACCTTCCGGGTTAAAGCAATTCTCCTGCCTCAGCCTCTCAGGGAGCTGGGATTACAGACACGTGCCACCACGCCCAGCTAACTTTTGAATTTTTAGTAGAGACTGTGTTTCACCATGTTGGCCAAGCTCATCTCGAACTCCTGACCTCAGGTGCTGGGATTATAGCCACTACACCCAGCCTTGATTAGCATTCTATTTCTATTGTTTCGTTTTCAACCTATCTATGCCTTTAGATAGTCACATGTCACTTACCAACAGGGACACATTCTGAGAAATGTGTTGTAAGGTGATTTCATTGCTGTGTGAACACCCTGGATTATACTTAAACCGAGTGTTGACTACAACTGCGGTCTTTGGTGTGTTGTTTAGGCTACAAACGTGTATGACACGTTACTGTAATGCATACTGTAGGCGATTGTAACACAACAGTTCTTGTGTTATGTAAACGTCGAAAAGGTACAGTAATAATGTATTATAATCTTATGGGACACCATCATACATGTCGTCTGTTGACTGAAATGATACTGTGTGCTGCAGGACTGCATTTAAAATGTATCACTTGTAAGTAACATATAGTTGAGTCTTGTTTAATAGTCTGATAATCTTTGTCACTTAATTGGAGTATTTATTTACATTTGCTGTATTAACATAACTAGCACTTACTAATTATGAATATAACTGTTTGCTTTTTATAATTACTAATGCAATGTAATCACAAATGTAATTGGGTTCAAGTCCTATCTTGCTGCCTGTTTTCTTTTTGTTCATCTGCTCTTTACTCCTTCACTTCTCCTTTGCCTGCCTTTCTTTGGATTAATCGAGCGTTTTTTATCATTATGTTTTGTCCTCGATTCACTTTTTTATTTTTATTTATTATTTTTAGACACGGGGTCTTGCTCTGTCATCCAGGCTGGAGTGCGGTGTAACTGTCTCTGAAAATAAATACATAGATAAATAATAACTAATCATCACAGCCCGAGGTAACCTCTGGCTCCTGGACTCAAGCCATTGTCCTGCCTCAGCCTCCCAAGTCCATGCCCAGCTACATTCACTTAAAATAATAAAAACAAACTTTTATTTTGAAATAATTTCAGACTTACAGAAAAGTTGTAAGAAGAGTAGAAAGGAACTGCACATACGCTTCACTCAGTTCCACTTTGCTAACATTTCTCCTCATTGCTTTTTCAGTGTGCTTTCTTCTGAATCTCTGAGCCACTGAGTTGCAGATATCAGGACCCTTTGTGTCACAACACCTCAGTGTGTATCTCTCAGGAAAGAAG